ATATAATTTAAAGAGTTTTTATAAAAGAAAAAAATAAGAAACAGAAAGTGAATTACAATATATGAAATCGATACCACAATACTCATTTTTCGACTCTTAATGCTCAATAGAAGACGTCTCATGCTCATTAAAAGTGTATTAATGCTCATCTAACGAAAACCGTGTTTTCACTTATATTACGAAAATGTCACTCCTTTTTAGTTGCGATATCAGCTTTCTTGTACTAACACGGTGCTCATTAAAATTAGACAATTGCTCATTAACAGTACACTAATGCTCATTTAGCAAAAATCGCGATTCTCACTTTAATTGCAAAAATGCCACCAAATTATTTTGTCATTTTTCCTTGGACATGGTACTACTTTCCTTGTTGGGCCGGCTCTACGATGTTCACCGATGTATCATATACGAACTCATTTTCATGCATTTTAATGATCATTCACGTTTTTTTATCAACTTTCATTTTCAAAGGAGTATTTCATAATAAAAAACAAAAAATGGAGTATTTCATTAGGCATTTTTATTCCAATAATACTAAAATGAATGAAAAAGATAAAAAGTGGCACGTTTTAATTTTTTCCAAAAACGTGACTAAAAGTCATTTATTCCTTATATTTAATCAAATATTTATTTTTTAATATTCCTTTTATACATTTGTAGCCACCAGCACCTTCGGACCGCCGACCCAAGCACCAACACGGCTGCCGCCACCGGCGGCAGTCACTATCTCAGTGACTCCAGTCAAAGTGACTCCGGCCACAGTGACTCCGCCGCCACAGTGTCTTCGCCGCTACAGTGACCCGCCGCTACAGTGACTCCGCCTCCACAGTAACTCCGGTCACCGTGGCTGCCCGCCTACCGGCCACGGTGACCACCCACCCACCGATCACAGTGACTACCCACCCATCAGCCACAGTTACTCAGCCATAGTGACACGCCAAACGGACGCAACTGCCACCGCCACCCCGATCGCCACCCCCGGCCGCCACCCCAGCCCTGTCCTCAACACCCCATCCCCCATTACCCAGCCACCTCCCCAGCCCGCAGCCAACTCTCTAGCCCCCTCTCAGCCCTCAGCCGCCTCCAGAGTCACCGCGCACCACCGTCACTGCCCCACAGTCACTGCACCACCCTAGCTCCACCACACGCTGCCCCAGCCCTGCACAATCGTTGCACCATCCCCAGTCCCATCCTCTCCCTTTCCCTGCCACAGCACCCACAACCAGCGCCCTCCGACTGCCCAGCCCCCCTCCTCTGCTCCCCTACTCCCTCCTCAGCCCCAAACCCATGCAGTCGCCCCCTCATATCCTCAGATCCCCTCCCAGCCTCCTAGATCCCATCCCCTGCCTTCATCGCACCCCAAAACCTAGCCTCCAGCTAATCATACAGTCGTTGAATGCGAAGAAAAAGGAGAAGAATGGGGAGGACGAAGACGATGAAGAACGAATCGAAGAAGGACGAAAACGAATCGAATGGAAATCAAAACGAATCGAATGGAAAGCAGACCAGATCTGTTCTTCCGGCTTCTGGAATGTAAAGCAAGGTTGCGAACGAGCTCTCGACAACTCTGGCCTAGTGGAGATGGCGGCGTTGCAAAGGCAGGCGATGGAGATGTTGTGGATTCCGAGATCGTTGGATGCTTCGCCTGTGGTTCGATCGATGAGCTTCGGTCCGACGGGAGCGAAGAAGATGAACGACTTGCGATGGATGAAGATGGGACGACGGAAATAAGCAGATGCGTACCGCTGGAGTGTTTTAATATGTCATATTATTGAAAAATGTAAAAGTTGTCTTATTTTTTTAAATGAATACTCTTGATAGATAGTCTACCCGGGGGGTACCTTATCCGAGGGGTTATTGCGGGAATGACTTAGAGAGAAGTCAGAGCAAGTAGGAGGAGAGAGAGTCGATTTTATTAAATGAACTCGAGATGTGGAGTTGAAATGTAGGTTGTGATTTACAAGGAGAAATGGGCTGCTATTTATAGCAGCAATAAATGCGATGAGAGGACACGTGTCAGTAATCCAACGGCCGAAGGGTCACATCAGCCTGGTGGCACCGGCAGTGGTACGTCAACCGCATTGAATGCGGTTGGCGGATGCGACGTGGCATTAAATGCGGTGGTTGGCTGTCTCTAAAAGGAATCTTCGATGATTGAGCTTGTTCAGCCGAAGGCTCCTCGTGTAGCCGAGGACTCCCTGTGTAGCCGAGGGCCCCGAGTGGCAGAGGGCTAAGTTCAGCCGAAGGCTCCCCTGATGCCGAGGGCTTGGCAAGCCCGAAGGCTCATGTTTTTCGCCGTTTTCTCCCAGTGGCTCCGTATGTCAGAGAGGGCTACTTCGTGAGTTTCTGGAGCCTTCGGCCAAGGAGGCCGAAGGCACCCCAGTATGTATTTCGGGCTATTTTGGGGCTTGGGCCGTTGCTTTTGGGCCTGAGTTGTTCTCTGGGCTCATTGGATATGTGTAGCAGAAGTAGGAGTCTATGGGCCGGGGGTTCTTGGGCCATATACTCCATCAGGAGTCCCTCACTCCTTTTGCCGAAAGGTACTTGAGGGAAAAGGAGTAGTTGTGTTGATTCTCCCGGAGGTTGCATCATTTCGTTGGGTGCCTTTGTTGGAGAGTTCGTCTTCTGCTGATTCCCGAATGCTTCCCTCAGGCCCCCACATGTCGAGGGTTTTCTGAGGGAAGGTATTCGTAACCTTCGCATGTTCGCCGGGGGATCCCCTCAGCCCTCACATGTCGAGGGCTTTCTGAGGGCAGTGTAACACCTGTATGACTGCAGAAGGCTTTTCCCAGTCCCTCACATGTCGAGGGTTTTCCGGGGGAAGCATAGATGTATTGCCTGCATGTGTTGTGACGAGGGCTGCCTCATCTCCGCAAGTGACTTGTGGAAACTTTTGATATTCTGTCCCCGCCGAAGGGTGTGATTCCCGAGGGGTGTGTCCCAGTCCCTCACTCCTTTTGCCGAAAGCTACTTGAGGGAAAAGGAGTTATGATGAGTTCACGAGCCCCCGAGGGGTGGTATCATTGATAGGCCGAAGGCTTATGTCGCTACTGGCTCGAAGGCGTTTTGGTGAAATTCGCTGGTAGAAGGGTGTGGTGAGCGATAGCCGGAGGCTACCATCCGGGGGTACGCCAGTGTTGCCGATATGTAGCCGTTGAAATAGAGCCGTTGCAAGAGGGGTCGACGTGGCCGGCTGCCGTTGGTTGAAGGTGGGCGGTATCCACCTATTGGCTGAACCGGCGGCCCGTAATGATGGGCTTTTGAATTGAGGCCCAGTTCTCGAGGCTGAAAGCCTATAAATACCCCAAGTCTCAAGCCATTTCCATTGTGCGTCCTTAAGCTATAGCGAAGCTCTGCCCAATTTTCTAGAGAGAGAAAGTAATCCCTTCGATCAAAAGCAACTTTCGAGGTCAGTTCTTCTTCAGTTCTTCGAATTCCTTAGCATACTTTGCCATTTCCTTCATTTGATTTAGTGTTAGAGAATTTTTGGGAGCCTTCGGTTAGAGCATTAAGTAGCCTTCTTCCCTTAAACCCTTCAACTTCTCTTCGGTAAAATGTCAACCCAAAGCGATTCTCAAGATATCTCGAGGGAGCCCTCGGTGCAGCAAGAGGGCTATTCGGACGTGGGGTCCTCGAGTGAGACCTCCTCGGGCAGAAATGATTCCGCAGTGGCGCTGGAAGTCCAAGATAATCTCAGGACCGAGGCCGAAGCCGAAGACTTTGAACAAGTCGTTGAAGACGAAGAACTTGCCCTCGCCCTCCAAGTGGCCGAGGAGGAAGAGGAAAAGGAGCGGATGAAGGTGACTGTCGCCGCACTCCCTCTTCGTGGCGCCGGTGAAGCTAGTAGCTCCCGGCACCTGGATCCGGAACCGATAAGTGTCGCCCTCGGGAAAAAGAAGAAGAAGATCCTGGCGGCCCCGAAGAAAAAACAGGCTGCAATTGACGTGGGTCAACCGGTGGGAATACCCGAGGGCCACTCGTATCTGAACACGGCGGCCCTTGCGCTGAAGACGAAGGCCACAGCCTCCGACTATCAGGCCACTCAGGTCCTCGTAGGACCCTTCGCACAAGTAGTTGAACCGGGGCCAAATGATTTGCTGCTGAATCCTCCGGAAGGGTGCTTCTCAGTGCATATACTTTCCGTGGATCTAGGCCTTCGATTTCCGCTCCACCCCTTTCTCCTGGAGTATCTCAAGTTCGTGGGACTGGCCCCCTGCCAACTTACCCCCAATAGCCATTCATATATTAGCGGGTTCCTGTCGCAGTGCCGGAGCCGGGAGGTGGAGCCGACGTTGGACCAATTCTTCCTGAGCTTCAACTTGTGCCGAGGGGGGCACGCTAACAGTGAAGGGTTCGCCAACCTCCAGCAGGTGCCTGAATGGAGGATTTTTTCTGAGGTGCCCTCGTCACATAAGGGTTGGAAAGAGAAGTTTTGCTATCTCCGTATGGACGCTAATCCTTTCCCGGAGCCTCTCCGCCATCACTTTCGAAGGCATTTGAGGGTCCGGAATGCTTCCCTTGATAAAAATGGCAAAAAGCTGGCGGCGAAGCCGAAGGGATCGGATAAGCTGATGTCTATTAAGGCGGCCACCCTTCCGGAAGAGATGTACAAGCTGGGATTTCGTCGGTACCGTCTGCCGGGAGATAAGGATGAGACACTCCCCGTGATTGACCGAGTCTACCAAAGCATTGGAGGTGTTTACAGGAGGCTCCTTACTTTGTGCTTGGGTATTTCTTTGTCTTGTATCCGTAACCTGACACCTGTATGCTTATATTATCTCTTTTTCTCTTTTTTTTACAGGTCCGGACATGGATGCCAAGTCGCTTGCCTTACTGAAGAAGCAAATGGCGAAGGAGGCCAAAAAGAAAGGGGGGCCTCCTTCACAGAAGGCCGTTGACGAGTTCTTCCAGAAGCCGGGGGCTTCTAAAGACAAAGACGCTGAGGGCCCTTCAAAGGGTGACGCCGATGCCCATGTGGAGGCTGGGGGCTCCAAGATCGAGGAGCTGAAGCGAAAGAACACCGGGAAGGGCGTCATGCCTCCGGAGAAAAAGAAGAAGAAGGGTGGTGAGGGGAGAAAGGAGGCCCCCATCCTGATAGCCGAGGACCAGCCTTCTTCACATCCCCCGGCTAATACGCCCCCTCGTTCTCCTCCCTCTCCTTTTGATGAGGAGATTCGGCCGGCGGAGATTGTCCAGTTCCCTATCAAGTCGGGGACCTCCGTCTTGCATGGCACTCTGCACCCCGTCGGGTTCATGAGGGGAGTAATGTCCTCGAAGGACAAGTCCGTGTTGGCTCGCTTCGAGGATGATATCCTTGATTACAAAGTCGCCAGTTATACTACCATGGTGAGTCTTCTTCTCTCCTTTATTCTCCCCCCCCCCCCCTTTTTTTTTAAAGTTTTCAAGTATCTCGGATATAACTTCATGATGTGAATTCTCTGACGCCGAGGTTCCCCCCTTTCTCTTTGCAGGCTGCCCTGGCTGCCTCCGAGCAAGCCCGGAGGGTGGAGCAGCTTAGGATAGCAAAGGGCCAGGCAGACGAGGCCCTAAAGAAATCTGATGAGGAGATCTCCGCCCTCAGGAAGCGGCTCGCTGATGCCGAGGAGGCCCTCCGGCTGGAGAAGGAGGACGTGGAACAAAGGCTAATAGATGCCGAGGCCAAAGGTAAGGCCAGTGCTGAGGAAGCTGCCGCCGAGGCTGCCAAGGATGCCGCCATCAAAGCCGAAGAGGCCAGGAAGGAGGCGGCGCTCCAAGCTGAGAAAGATGCAGTGTCTGCCTTCGTCGCCGAGGGATGGCAAGCCGAGGAGCGGAAGCCTTGGGTGGATACCGTCGTGGAGGCTTCGGTCGATGCGTGGGTTAGGGGGCCCGGGGCAATGTGGCTTGCCCGGAAAGGCAAAGAGTACTATGATGGTGGCGAGTTCTTCACGCAATGGCTTGTCTACCGGAGGCTCGCTAGGCACCTCGGCGTTGACCCTAAGGAGTTCGATCCCTCGGCCCATGGCCTGCCCCCCCTTCAGCCAGATACAAGGGTTCCATTGCCTCCGGGCGTGGAGCGGCCTGATCTCGAGGACTCCGAGCTGATGAAGGAGGCTGGGGATGATGAAGATGCTGAAGACGATGCCGTTTCCAAACTGGGGGTGATGTGGCTCAAGAAGCCCAACTTTGAATATATATCTTCTTAAGCTGAAACTTGTAATAGTTGATAGGCCTCGGCTTCGGCCATATTTTTGTAACGAAACACATTTTTGATTTTTCCTGTTGAATGAATGATTGCCTTCGGGCTGTTTGTATGGATGAATGCCTTTGTCTCTTTCATGTTCGTGTATGAATGCTTTCCTTCACTTGGATGAATGTATTTTTTCCTTCTTTAGTCTGGCTTCCCGAAGGCCACAAGTTTGTGGACTTAGAGAATTTTCTAAGTACAACTTGATCAGAACCCTTCGGATGTAGAGTAGAATAGTCGGAGGTTGTTGATGTGGACTTAGAAATCTTTCTAAGTGTAAGCCCAATCATGAGCCCTCGGCCGTAGCGAAGGACCATCGGGGGGCTTGAAGCTGTGGGTTTAGAAAATTTCCTGAGTAAGAACTTAGATCATGTCCTCGGTGACTAGGCCCTCGGTAGTGGCGAGCCTCCGACCGTAGTGTAGCATTAGGTTATTGCCAAGTAGATTAGGGGGCCATCGGCTGTACGAAGGTTGGTGAAGATAGTATCCCGGTTTGCCCCCGAAGGGCTCCCCCATCGTGGACTTAGGCAAATTTCCATAAAGCTTCCATAGGTGCCGTAGTGGACCTTCGGGCGTGAGAGTTGCTTGGGCCCCCGGTGTGTATCGTTGCCGAGGGGTCCAAGATTATGGACTTAGTGAAATTTTTTCATCGTTGAATGAGCCTGTTGACATTCTGCCTTCGGCATGAGGTTTGTGCGCATATAGACTTAGTGAGGTTCTGCTAGTGAGCCTCTTTTTTTGGGCTTCCGGGGAAACCGTTGTACTCCAAGGCTTTATGTAGGGGAGCCTTCGGCTATGTAGCCAGATGACTTGTTGTAGAGAGATTTTCTTGTGCCTTTGTAGGAGCCTTCGGGAATGTATATCCGCAGTGTTGAGCCTCCGGGGAGAATAGTGTCCGGGGAGTTCCTTCCCCCCTACACATCTTTTTTTTTTTTAGATGGTGTAGGAGAGGCATCTAGAAACTTGGTTTCTAGGGAAGGCTTGGCCTATGTGGGAGGCAACGGAACAAACCGTTGGCTCCCCCTTCGAGAATGACCTTCCGATATCCCGAAGGGTTTGAGGGTCGTTTCCTCGGCCCGAGACATCGTCTGTTGCCTGCTTCCCCTTGGGAGATAGCACGGAAAGCGCCTCGGTTTTGAAAGTCGTCCCCTCAGCCCGAGACATGGTCTGTTGCCTGCTTCCCCTTGGGGGATAGCGCGGGGAGCGTTTCGTTTGTGGAAGTCGAATCCTGGGCCCGGGACATGGTCCGTTGCCTGCCTCCCCTTGGGGGATGGCGCGGAAAGCGTTCCTGGGAAGGGTTTTACTTGTGTGTAGAACACAAATAGCCGGGGGCACTTGGTACCAGCCGGAGCCGAGGGGTATTGTACCCCCGTTTTTTTTTTTTTTTTTTTTTAGGAGAGTATGTAAAAGTATGCATAGTGTATGCATGATTGCGTCCTCGTGGGGTACGGCTTGGTGAGAAAACACTTTGGTGTTTTCAAAGAGTGATGGGGGTGACCCATACACTTGGTACTTGGTACCTAAATTGTTGTTCCCCCTCATCAGAGGGAGAGGCCTTGGGCCTATTTTGGTGGAGAGATGAGGGCTTGGCCACTCATGTGTAGGAGAGAAGGGGGGCCTTGGGCCGTTTGTACAATACGTAGGTGATGAAGGCTTGGCCTTTTGATTATTCTTCAAAAACAGATGGGGCCTTGGGCCACTGATCATTTACACTTGTTGAGGATGAGGGCTTGGCCACTCATTGGTAAAACTTCACTAGGTGGTGCACATTCCAATGTCTAGGAATCTCTGTCCCATTAGGACGTTTTAACTTGTATGTCCCCGGTTTGATGATGGCTGAGATGATGTAGGGGCCTTCAAACTTGGGTGCCATCTTTCCTCCTTCGGTGGGTAGACTGGCCTCCCTTCGTCGGAGGACGTAGTCTCCCACCTGGAATTCCCGGGAGCGGACCTTGGCGTCGATGTATCCTTTGACTTGTCTCCTATAGTTTTCGGCCCTGAGAAAAGCTTGCTCTCGGCGTTCTGAGATGAGATGAAGGTCGAGGGCCATGTTGGCTTCGTTTGCCTCGGGCTCATATTGCTCAACCCTTCGGGTGGGAAGAGTCACTTCTGTGGGAGCCTTAGCCTCAAAGCCATAGCATAGGGAGAAAGGGGTCTCGCCTGTTGCACGCCGAGGGGTGGTGCGGTAGGCCCACAAGATGTTATGAAGTTCTTCTACCCAGCCTCCCCCTTCGGCTTCCAGCTTTTTCTTCAATCCTTCAAGTAGGGTTCGGTTGGCGTTTTCCACTTGCCCGTTGCCTTGAGGGTAGGCAACGGAAGAGAATGTGTGTTTGATGCCCCAAGCCTCAAGGAGGGCACAGAAGGGGGCTGCCTCGAATTGAGTCCCGTTGTCGGAGATGATTTGTTGGGGGACGCCAAATCTTGTGAGAATGTTCTTGAGGACGAAGTGACGGCACCGGGCCTTCGTGATGCTGGCGAGGGGTTCGGCCTCTACCCATTTGGTGAAGTAGTCAATGGCCACAATGATGTACCTGTTGTTGGAGGTACCCCTCGGCAGAGGGCCCACTAAATCAATCCCCCATCTGGAGAAGGGTATAGCGGTGCTGATGGGGGCATAGTTGATCGCTGGTCTGCCGGGGGCCTTCTGAAAGTGCTGGCAAGCTGTGCACCTTCGGGCTAGATCAGCACAATCTCTAGCCATCGTGGGCCAGAAGTAGCCCTGAACTATGAGCCTTCGGGACATGGAGAAGGGTCCCTGGTGAGCGGAGCAAGTGCCACTGTGCACTTCCTCCGTGGCGACTTCGGCTTCATCTTGGTGAAGGCACCGAAGGAGGGTGCCGTTGTAAGATCTCTTGTAAAGCCTCCCGCTCTCGATGGTGTAGCTGGGAGCCCTCAGCTTTGCTAGCTTGGCGCGGGCTTCGTCTTGGGGCAATTGCCCTGTGGTGATGAAGGTGATGATGTCGGAGATCCAATCCTCCGTCCTCAGGTTAATGTTCATGACGGGGCTTGCGTGGATACTTGAGAGGCTGAGCTCCTCGATTCTTGCAATTTTTGAGAGGTGCTCGGGGGATTCATCCGAGAGCTTGGACAGAATGTCGGCCTCAGAGTTTTGAGCCCTCGGTATTTGGGTGAGAGAATGTGCCTCAAATACCTTAAGCAACTCCTTGGCAGCCTCCTTGTATTGCTTCATCCTTCCTTCCTTGGCCTCGTATTCCCCGGAGATTTGACCCACGACAAGTTTAGAGTCGCACTTGACGTGGATCATTTTAGCCTTCAGGTTTGCCGCCAGCCGAAGGCCACAGAGGAGGGCCTCATACTCGGCTTCGTTGTTGGAGACTTTGAAGGAGAAGCGGATGGCATAATAGGCGCGGAAGCCCTCGGGTGTAATGAGGACTACGCCCCCTCCGCATGCTTTGGTGGCCGAGGAGCCGTCGGTATAGAGGGTCCACCACTCGTCCAGGGGTGCCGAAGGCTCCTCATCCACCGCTGATCTCGCGGTGCATTCCGTTACGAAATCTGCCAGGGCTTGGCCCTTGATGGCAGGCCTCGGACGGATATCTATGTTGTATTGGCTGAGGAAGATGGCCCATTTCACCATCCGGGAGGAGCTAGTGGGACTCCTCATGAGGGCGCCGAGGGGTTGATGAGTGAGCACCTGGACTGGATGAGCTTGAAAGTAGTGGCCAAGCTTCTTGACGGCCCAAACGATGGCTAGCACCGTCTTCTCGACGGGAGAATACCTGAGTTCGGCCTCCCGGAGGGTTTTGCTGACGTAGAAGATTGCACGTTGGATGCCGTCTTCCTCTCGGACTAGTACTGAGCTGATAGCCGCAGGGCTAACACCGAGATATAAGTATAAAGTCTCCCCCACCTTTGGTTTGGAGAGCACTGGGGGGGAGGAGAGGTACTTCTTGAGTTCGTCGAAGGCCTCTTGACATTCAGATGTCCATTGAAAACCCGCCGTCTTCCTCATGATTTGGAAGAAGGGGAGGGCCCTCTCGGCCGACTTAGAGAGGAATCGGTTGAGGGCCGCCAGGCGACCCGTCAACCGTTGAACTTCCTTGACGTTGCGTGGGGGCTCCATGTTGATGATGGCCTGAATCTTCTCGGGGTTGGCCTCAATACCCCTTCGGCTGACCATGTAGCCCAAGAACTTTCCTCCCTGCACGCCGAAGGTGCACTTCTTTGGATTTAGCCGGAGGTTGAATTTTTGCATGATGGCAAAAATCTCCCGGAGGTCGTCGGCGTGGGTGCCTGCCTTCTTGCTTTTGACGATCATATCGTCAACATAGGCCTCCATAGTGCGCCCCAAGACAGCTTGAAAAACTCTGGCCACCATTCGGGTGTAGGTGGCGCCTGAATTTTTGAGGCCGAAGGCTATCACAAGATAGCAAAAGATGCCTTCGGGTGTCATGAAGGCAGTTTTT